CTGTAGAGTTCTCTAAATCATAGAAGTCCACTCATGTTTCTCACGGTATCACAGTACTAGCAAATATGACCATGTAAAAATTTATGCAGTTAAGGTGTCTGTCTCTCAAATTTCACATAATCACAAGGAATTAAAAAGCCAGTTAAGGTATAATAATAATTTTAGCCATTATTTTTTCAACTTGCTACAATCTACCCTAAGATAACTAATTGTTCAAAGTAAACATTCCACTCAGACCACAAAAGGAATCCATTATACAAACATATAATTCACAGTCATTTTTAGTGGGTTGTAAACAGTTTGGAATGAGTATAAAATGGGACAAAAATCAAAGTGAGCATTTTGAAATGAAAAAGTGTTTGCTACAAAAGGTCAGTCCCTTTGCTTGGCAAACTATGTAGAAAAGCCTGGGAAAATGCTGATCACACAAGCAATGAGGGGATTTTGGAGCCAACAGCCTCCTTGTTTCTTTAAACAGACATCGGAACCTATAACTGGATCCTGTCAAACAAACGACAGCAAAAAAATATAACAGCTGCCATGAAGTCAAGTTGAGAGATAAAGTTTTGGAGGCTAAGGACCTTCTCAGAAGTGGACTAAAGGTCTTTCTTAAATCTTTAAGCAGTGTTATGGATCCCAGGGTATCTTCTGGGCACTAAGTCAAGTATGTAACTTGTGTTTCATTCCTGTCATAGCATTTTTGTGTTTGAGAAAAGACAAAAAAAATCACAGAAAGGGCAAACTTCTTGTTGGTCAGCAATTGCTGAAACATTCTGAAAACTATCTTGTATCTCAAATCATTGAGTATGGAAGACATGGTATCACATACCACACACACACACACACACACACACACACACACACACACATACAGAGAGAGAGAGAGAGAGAGAGAGAGAGAGAGAGAGAGAGAGAGAGAGAGAGAGAGAGCTGATGAAATGGTTCATAGGATAAGTGTGTGTCACCAAGCCTGACCATTTGAGTTTGATCCCTGGGAACCACCTGCTAGAAGGAGAGAACCAACTCCTGCAAGTTGTCTTCTCATTTCCACACTTGGGTTGTGGCACGTGCACTCAGGAACACATAGACACAAACACATACATGGAATTTTTAAATTTTTGGTAAAAACACATAATGCAAGATAATCATTTTAAGCACATAGTTCAGTAGTGTCAAGTATATTCTGATTGCTGTGGTAAAGATCTTTTGGTATCCTCTTAACACGCTTATGGGCCACAGTACCAGAAATGGCAAACTTAAAGGAAAATGACCGTTCACAGCTTATTATAGATAGTCAATGCCAACTCCACTTATAATAATTTAAAAATTCAATCTATTCCCTTACATTCAAAAATTGTGCTTGCTATACAAAACATATTTAGGGTAGAGTTTTGCTCATTTATAGATGCACAGATTAAGACACATGGGACTTGGTTAAATATAGGTTAATTTTATTCTGGGAGAAGTCACTTACATAAGAAACCATGACCCGCAAGTTCCAGCTCCAAGGATCCACACCCAGGCTGCTCTCCATGACCCGGCTGGAACCACCCCATACCTAACCTTCCCCTGTCACAAGGTGGCTATCTCACTACACTCATTAATTTAGTAAACTCTATCTCTCTATAAAAAGTCTCTGGCAAGGTCTACATTTTATTTTCTATTTAAAGCATGTCTCTTCACAGGTATCACATATGGCTGGCTTGTTCTACTATGATCATACAATGGGTCAGGATAATAGCTCTGTGAATAAAACAAATTAAAATTCCCCTGGTCCTATGAAGAGGTCAAAGCACACAAGCATTTGTTTATGATTCAGGATTTTATCTATCATTTTAAGACACACATCTTTGTTTGCTTTTCAGATTTTTGTAATGCTTTTTCTATCTTCTTATTCCTACTCTTTCCTCAAAACACTTATCACAGCTTGTGTTTTGTTTAGTTTTTTAGTTTCTCTTTTTCCTACATTTTTTTAGTTTATCACATGAAGAATAGTACACAACTAGTGACTGCTACTTCATTAATCAACATCCAATGTGCCTTTCAAGAAGAAACACAAGTTGAGACATTCATTAGTTACTAGGGTATCTCACAGAGTCTTCTGTAAATCAATGTGATTCTTTGTACAAAAATATATTTAGGGCTGCACAGATAATGGCAGAAGCGACTGTACTCTAAATGGCTGAGGAGGACAACATCGTCTGGTGGTCAAGAATGTAGTGAATCAAATTGAGACAAAGGAATGTACCAGATGAGTCACTTGCCAGTTGGTTTACAAGGCTTACTTAACCATGTTTTCTAAGTTATGTACAAAAGATGCTAAAAATTTAAACCTAACTAATGCAACTTAACTGAAGGTGAATGAAGAACACACTTCATTCTAGTCGCTAGGTAGAACTACCCGGGAGACCTCAGAAGCCAAGCGTTGTTCTGTCAGACTCAAGCAGCAAGAAAACTGAGAGGATGGAGAATCAATGCTGAGTATGCCTGCCCTGTATCATGCTTCATTTTATAGTAAATATACACTAAGCGTTTGAAAATACTGCTTGAGTTTTATAGATGCCTTTAAAAGAAGAAACTAATAACAGAGGAAAAATGAAGAAGGAGCCAAATCTTTTTATAACAGCCAGAGTACCCATGTTATGATCACAGAGGCCATTTCCTCAAGACTGGAAGAGTGAACACAGCCTTCATTAAATGGAACTTTCCTAGAATGGACCCATAAGTATTTCCCATGACTGCGCAGTCGAGTTTCTTGGCTGGAGGAGCATCTGGCCATTAGAAGGAGCACTCCAGATATTCTGAGTCTCAGCCATGCCGAGAGACTTGGCACCTTCCTCTGCTACTTCCTAGTACCAACCCTGCATCAAATGTCATCAGAAGCCTGCATAAATATTGGACTTAGATTCACATAAATTATTTCTGTCCTGAGGTACAATATGCCAAAATTTAGTAAAAACAACACTTTGAGTAAACAGAATTGGCATATAATTGTAAGAATATTAATCCAACAAAATGATCATAGGAAAATATAATCAAAAGTACACACTTGTAAATCTCGCAATGATGTGAGACGTTTATCTTTTGCTTCTGACTTTTTATTGAACATTTCCATGGAGTTCCTTTAAGCTAACACTGCCAAAGTGCTTTGAATTTTCAGTTGCTTTGCAGAATTATAAAATGGTTTTGAGTTTCATTAGAATGCTCAGGAATTATTTTAATAATCATATGTGCGATTAGCAGCTGTTTAGTGCTGGATCTACAAATTCATTTTGAGAGTAAACATTGGGGCAATAAAATATAATGCTGTCATGATTGCTCCTGTCAGCAGAAACACCATCTTACTTTATTAAAAATCACCATGAAAATGCCATACACAGATACAATTCCTCTTTATAGACACTTTCTATTCTATGATATTATGGTATCTGTATACTGCAAGGCTACATCAAGCAGGGATTTTCATTTTGCCTTAGGTAGACTCGCAAATAGGGTGATATAAGCTATTCTTTCCATGTGCATACATTGGTTCCCACATGGCCTATTTGGATTTGTGATATAATACAATAACATTCATGCCATTGGCACTCAGTATTTAAACATGAATGAAGATTTCTCGGAAATGTTTAAAAATAATTTAACTACTGGAAATAATAACAATATTCTCAGTGATCTATTTTGGCTTTAAGTATTTTTAAATAATATTTATTCCTAAGATAGGTACCTATAAATTAAATGAAATTGCAACATGCACTGAAAACACATTTCCCTCTAAATTCCAATCAGCTTCATTCCTCACAGACACTTCTCTTGATGCTTATTCCACAGTAACTGTTTCCTGTTCTCTGTCCCCACAGCAACTCTTCTCCCTGAAGTGTCAGTGTGCTTTTTCCCACAGTCACTAGCTTTATCTGCGTCCCTATGCAGCGCTTCCCCTCTTGTTATTCTCTCATTCCCTACTGATATGGGAATAATAGGATCCCAAGGCTGTCCTTACAGTATAATTAAAGTATGAATTTCCAGGAGTTAGAAATTGCATGCAGTTTTTATTATGCTTCTATAATAAAGCCAGGTAACACTGCGAGAATTAAAATGGCCTTTTCTGAATAGAGGATTTGAAGATCTTTTTCCCTTTGGTTGTATTGTTTTAGGAGAATAGGTGTTGAAAATGAAAATGGGGTCACCCATTGCTTTTCTCTGTGAACACCTCTGTGTTTCGCGTGATATATATTCCCCTAGATCCTGGAAACATGTTGTAAACTTGTAACAGATGGTGATGAAGCTTCACATTTTTATTTAATACATTTTTTTAAGATTCTGCATTTACAGTGTGTGTCTTCCAGGAAAAATGACCTTGAATGAATGAAGTCATAGTTCGAAGGAAAAACACTCCACAGATAAACTAGCATAGAAATGATGAGTCAATAAGGATTTGTTTTGTTCTCTTCAGTGAGATGAAATAATTTCAGATGAAAAAGAGAGTGTTGGAACAGAGGAGTCAAAGGTCATCTTAACACTGGAGGTGTATCTGCTAATTGTTCCAGGAAACCCAGTTAGCTGTAATCTGTACTGAACAGAACCATGTGGAAGATGGCGTATCACTATCTGTGAGTAGAAATGCTGTTTACTTCACTTGGGTAATGCTGGGGGCTTACCAAAATTGTTCTGGCACATCTACCAGCATGAATGTTAGAGGGTTCTAACACTGCAAGTGCTGATATTTTTATGAATGTTTTATCACTGGCTTGGAAACAAGAAGTTTGCAATTGATTCAACAGTATGTCAGACAGACAAAATATTAAAAAAAAAGAACATTAGTGAGAATCGCTAATGTCCCTATTGTAAAAACAAACTGAAGTTAATAAGAAACTTGATCATCTTAACTGATTAACAAACGTCACGTTTTAATTGCATGGCTTCCCAGAGAAATCAAGTGGCACTCTGAACTTGAGCCCTAGCTGTGCAGAGGACTCGGCAATGCTGCTTATTTGGTTACCCACCTCTTTTTTCAACAGCTTCAATGCATTGCTTTACAAACCATGGGACTGTGGAATGTTCTCGTTCACACACTGTGTGCAGATGAGAGCCAAAAGTTTGATCTGCAAACAAAACAAAGATGAGTTTCATTAAAATCCAAGACTACGTTGTTCTTTAATTTGATTCTGCAGCCATAGCCAATGCTGAGATCGTCATCTTGCATAGGAATTGATTTTTGCTTTGATTTCAAAGTGTCTAATGGCAGATGTATAAAGACTGTGTGTTCCTTTATGGAATAGAATTCTGATCTCAGGGTAAGAAAACTAACGTGGTCATTGATTAGCCACTGGTGAGGAGTGCCTAAGTGTGTTTGGAATCCTGCATGTTTTAGAGGTTTATCAGCACTTATCAAGAACACAGTTTGGTCAGTATATTTAAGGCATTCCTCTGCAGAGGCGTTTGATAAGGCCGGGGAATACTGTAAAGGAAATCTCTTAGCGTTTCTCCTGCCTTGTATGCTCACTGTCTTGTCAGATTTGAGTTTCACCTTTGTGACAAGTCTCAGCTCAGAGTTTCTGCATGTTATCTTGGCTTTTCCATTGAGATAGACTCCCTGGATAGCAGACACTGTAGACACCTGGGCCCATGGTCAAGTGGCTCAGCAACATCAAATTAAACCAAGTTAAACAGAGTTTAAGATAGATTTTTAAGTGGTTTAATGAGTTTTTGTTTGCTAGAGCCGTGATGCATGTGAGGTTTTGTAAGAGGGTAGAAGAGATAATATTTCTCAGGCTCATTTTGTTAATATCCCTTTGTTTCAGTGGGCATCTCTCTGAACTGAAGCTGCTAAAAGTGGGGCACGGGACCGTTCCCTCTCCTTCAGAATAAGACAGAAGCTTCCACCAACAGCTTTTCTGGGTTTGTGATTAATCGAGTTGTGTCTTGCACTTAACCTTTCTTATGGAGGTTCATTCATTGAAAGTGACATCCCCAAGCTAGAGGTGGTATGGAGAAGTGATTGGATCAGGAGGGCTCTGATCCAATCATAGGATGAGTTCATTAACAGATCCATAATTGGATGGAGTCACTGGGAGGTTGTGGCAGCTAGACACTGGAGCCTAGTTGGAGGAAGTAGGTCATGGGGGCATGACTTTGGAAGGTACATCTCTTCTCTGGTTCCTCCCTGTTTCAGTCTTTCCTCCTTACTGCCATGCAGTGAGCAGTTAGCTCTGGGATGGGACCCCCTGTTATGTCACACATTCCCCTTGCCACAATGCATTGTCAGCCCAAAGCACTGGATCCTTTTGACTCTGCGCTGGACCCTTAAGTCAGAAGAACATTTTCCTTCTATAATTGACTTTCTCAGGTATTTTGTTCTATAGCAAGAAAAAGTGAGTAATACGTAGTATTCTCTCCACCAGCAGAGCCTGAGTGTCTGAATCATCTGTGTTCCATTGTTGTTGCCAGTGCTTAGTACCATAGTAGGCACTCATAGACTGTCTTTTAGAAATAATTTAAAGATATGCACGGTATAAAATGTAGCCTTTAATACTAAGTGTACACAGACTAATACGTAGTGAGTCCAAGGGTGTCCCATTTTGAACAGAATGACGCCTGGTCCTCATGCTTTACCTGATTTGTCCTCCACTAACTGCTTTCCTTTCAGGACTCTCTATCTCCATGGAAACTAGACTTGTTGTCTGAGTGCCTGTTTCTAATCCCTTACAAATACTTTGTCCCTGGGGTTGTGTTCTCATTATCCTCTCTGGGTGGAACTCTGTTGCTCTACTCTTTGATCTTCTTACTGTAGTCTTTTCCAGACACCCCTCAAAGACTGTGGCCACTCAACTCCATTTTCTATACAGGTTTGTCTTCTTTATTTGGGAATGGGGTTTATCTCCACTTGAGATGTTGGACCTTATGTTGTCTGTATAGTTTGCTTAACTTGTTTACAATTCAAATCCAGAAAATCCAGGGTCATACATTTACTATGGATATCCAAGACCTAGACAATATTTGGCACATTATAGAAGTTCACTAAGCATGTTTTGAATTGTCAATCAGTGGAGACACTGTACAAAATATAAATATACATAAATGTGGAGAAAATATATATTATATAATAGTACATAATAGAATGCTAAGTGACAAAGTATCTCAATGATTAAAAAAAGTGAGATTTCAAGGAAGTCGGATTTTCATCTATTACTTAGGAAAATATATTGGTGTATACTGGTAACAGCAACATGGAGGGAATCAAGTAAGGCTAATACACTATTAATAACACATCCTGATGTGGAAATATGTGTGTTTATACAAGAGACAGGAAGAAGATAAATCCAAAACCCAGATAGTATAAAGAAATGGCAAACAATTGTATCTGCTTTGAACACTTGATGAAGTAGCAGAGATTTGTTCCAAACGGTGAACATCCCTATAATAAAGAGTGACATAAATATTACCTAAGAAAAATTGCCAGGACTTCAGATCAAACATTTTAAGTTGGCTAGAGGTCTTAGTCAGGGGAATTACTACAATGTGCAAACCTGTTAGTAGGTTTCATTATTTAAATCCGTTGCACAAATGTTGATTGATTCTTCTATCTGCACAGCAACAAAGGAGGTGCTTTAAGTTGTAAATAATGCTGGGATTTTTTTTTAATATTGTAGGGTTGATATGGTAGGCATTATAAAATATTTTGAGTAGGTGAATGCTGCCTTTTCATGTACATAGGGGTATGTCTTTTAATGCCTTCTAGAGAGGGGGGAGATAGAGAGACCGACAGAATTACTTGGAACGGAAGTCATGCAAGGAAAGTAGATGCACTCATGAAGTGAGTGTTAAATTTTCAATAGAGCTTAGGTTTGTTTTCTTTTTTCATGTGGATATAAAAGAAAGATGGAAATTTTAGGATATTTTCTCTTTAATCCACTCGATTAGCTTAGAAAGACAATTATAAGTGCCTATTCTGTAGCATAATGTCCTTAGAATCTCCCACATAATTATTAAGATGCCATACCCTCCTCATCCTCTAAATGTGTCCTGTGTAAGATACTGACACACATGTTAAGGAGAACATATGGTCACGAAATATGCTGTGTGTGGGGTAGTAAATGTGCATTGTGGGAGTATATAGAGAAGGGGAAGACCAGCCTTACCCACTGACAACTTCCCAGAGAAGAGGGAAATCCTCATGTATAAGTAGGACTTGAGTAGTAGGCATGAAGCTGAGAGCTCACATATATTTTTTATTTTTTGTTTTCTTGAGACAGGGTATCTCTGTATTGTTTTGGAGGCTCTCCTGGAACTTGCTCTGTAGACCAGGATAGCCTGGAACCCACATAGATCCACCTGCCTCTGCCTCCTGAGTGCTGGGATTAAAGGTGTGCGCCACCAATGCCTGGCTTTTTTTTTGAGAGCTCACATCTTAAATCTTAATAAAGCAGAGACAGCAACTGGAAATGGCAAGAATCTCTAAATTCTCAAGGCCATGTCCAGTGACACACTTATGCCAACAAGGCTCCATCTTCCTAAAGTTCCCCAAACAATGCCACCGCCCGCGGATCAAGTGTTCAAATATATGAGCCAATGGGAGGCATCCTCATTCAAACCACCACAAGTAATAATGACAACTTAAAAGAGATCATGAACTTGGGGGCGTTGAACACGAAGAGGAAAGAATGGGAGTGCTCATAGCAGTGTTCATGTATGGAAAAGTTATTTTAAAAGTCTATAAAAAATTTAAAAAGAAAATATCTTATGTTAAAGAATGTGAATTCTTTGTGGAGAACCATTTGCTTCTGTGCTTCTGTACTAACCGGACACCATGACTTGGGGTTGCTGCTCAGCACTGCAAGAGAGTCTTGAACTACCCAAGCCAGAAATATATCAAAGCCCATGTTTTGAGTAGTTTCCACTAACTATAAATTACTTTTCCCTATCGTAAAGCTGAAAATGTGTGATGAACTATTACAACTTGGGGTCCATTTGGATATTCTACATATTTAAGCCATTGTGTTGATGGTAGACAATATTATTTTACCAAATTTACGGAAACGAAAAAGGGATCAAAGATACTGATAGTTGTTCATCATCAGGCTCTGAGTTGTGAAAGATGAAAATGAACCAGAAATGGAGAGACTCATGACCCAGTGGGTATGGGAAGCAGATACAGGATGTAACAAAGACTATCAGGCAATGACAACCTCTGGATTACTGTATTTCTGCTTTTTTAGTGGATAGGGCCTGGAGAGCAGAGATGGGAACTTGAAAGAGAAATTAAGGGTTTCATATGCAGCAGAGAGGTGGTAGAGATAAACATAAGAAGCTATCTTTGGGTTTTGACAATTCCTATGGCATGGGTGATTATAAAGAGTGTGGTCTTTGGAGAGTAATAACGCTGAAAATCAGATAACTGTTGTCAAGTTTTGTAAATGAAATGAGGAATGAATTAGCTAAACAAGTATATAGGACTTGGTGTCTGGCTTGGGGTAGATATGAGAGAAAGCAACTACAGGGTATTTTTGATGGCTGAGTTGATGAGGAGACACACTACTGACTGTCTTGGGCAGTCAGTGTTGTAGGAGTGGGAGAAGTGTACTGCTACTTACTGAGAGATCCAGGAAAGTGGGTATCCCATAGAATGTCTCGCCTTCCCCTATTGCCAATAATGCCCTAGTAAGTAAAACAAAACAACACTCCAAACCTAAATATTTTAAACTTCACTGAAGTTTTTGAGTTCCATAGTTATTTAAAAAGCAATATTTTTCATATTACTTCTATCCTTCCTTAAGATTTACTGTCTTCACTCAATAATATGTGGCTCTGTAGTTCAGAATTGCAGCTCTCTCATAATCCAAAAAGGTCCAAGGCTGTCTTATGAATCAAACTAGGGCCTCCTTAGAAAATCCAGATGCAGAGAGATGGAGAACAGTATTGTTTGTACAGAATTGAACTGTGAGGCTGCCTAGATTAGACATTGAGGAGTGCACAGCCTCTTTGGAGTGGTTATATGGGATGAATGGGTGAATGGAGCAACTCTGCTTTGAAGAAATTGGTGATTGGAACAGATGCACGTAAGCTCATTGCAAAATCTAGTCCCAGCAACTATGTTCATTCTATG